CATTGCAGAATATATATACGTGTAGAGAAGAGTGTTAAAATACACCAGCATTAATATTTAACTAATGACATGCATTATTAATAATATGTGCATTCATATTAATAATTTTTGTTGTTGTTCCAATCTCATTAGGCTCTTTAGATATTGAGAAAACCAAAGCTCTGTACAGAGACCTGGTGTGTGTGTTTGATAAGGTGGTTCTTCCCACTCATGCTTCCTGTCACGTGCAGTACTACATCTTCTACCTGTGCAGCTTCCATCTGGTAAGGTCACACTTCTCTCTCATTCACAAAAACAAAAAGCATACCTAGACATCAAAAACTTTTTTTTTCATTTTTTTTTTCAGGGTTTGGCTGAAGCTTTTTTGGATCACTTATGGAAGCTGTTACAAGGCCCCAACCAGCCCCCCATCCTGAGACAGGCCGCTGCTGGGTACATGGGCAGCTTCATGGCGAGAGCCAAGTTTTTGCCAGTGTCGTACGTGACTTTATCATGCAGTTTTATCTTATCTAATACACTGGAGTTCAATATTTAATCATCTTTCTTGGCAGTGGTTTGTTACCTCGATTAGGTAATTAAACATTAATGCCTCTTTGTTGGTGTCTGAGAAAGAAAAGGGGTATGATTGGACACGGGTACCTTTATTTGTCAAAACATAATTTGAAACCTACATGTCAAAATTGGTGCTGTAGAGTTTCCTCTCTCTCTCTTCCATAGGACAGTCAAGGCCTGTCTGGACCTGTTAGTTCCCTGGCTGCACCTTTACATTGACAGTCAGGACACGGGATCCAAAGCATTCTGTGACATCAATCTCCACGGCCCCTTTTATGCAGCCTGCCAGGCTGTTTTTTACACACTGATCTTCAGGCACAATGTCATTCTGGAGGGCAGTCTGAAGAAAGGTCAGTACATGTGGAATTTAAATCATTTGTAAGTAATTTTTTTTTTTTTTTTTTTTTTTTGATCTGTTAATTTATCAAAAAATGCATGCACAAACAATGACCACTTTTTAAGCATGAAATTTATATTAGATATTTTGAGGGTCTTTAAGTCAAAATTATAAACTCAAAAAATCGCCTGATAACATAATGAAGAAAAAGGGTTAGTTCACCCAAAAATTCTGTCATTAATTACTCCCCCCTCATGTCGTTCCAAACCCGTAAGACTTTCTATCATCTTTGGAACACAAATGAAGATCTTTTAAATGAAATCGGAGAGATTTCTGTCCCTCCGTTGAAAGCTACGCAACTACCACTTTGCCGCTTCAAAAAGTTCATAAAGAGATCGTAAAACTAATCCATATGAATTGAGCGGTTTAGTCCAAATTTTCTGAAGAGACTCGATCACTTTATATGATGACGCTTTGAAGCTTCTCATTGTCAGTTGCGTAGACTGTCAATGGAGGGACAGAAAGCTCTCAGATTTTATCTAAAATTTCTTCATTTGTGTTCTGAAGATGAACGAAAGTTTGGATTTGGGTTTGGAATGACATGAGGGTGAGAAATTAATGACAGAATATACATTTTTGGGTGAATTAATCCTTTAAGGGTGCATTCACACTAGTACTTTTGGTGTGCATCCGGGTTCAACTGACGTCAGAGTTTGGTTCGTTTGGATGATGTGAACGCTGTTTTCCGAACTCGGGTGTGCACCTGTGAACCATACCCAAGTCCGCCTAAAAAGGGTGGTCTGGGGTACGGTTCATGTGAATTCTGGTACGGTTCACTGCTGATTCACGCAATCGTACTAAATCGCGGAAGTGAACCGCTATTGATGTTTGATTTGATTAAAACTGCTTTTGTGTGTGTTCTCACTCACTTTCCTGACAAGCGTGACTGATGCACTTCAAGCAGAGAAGCCCGACTTCAGCAGAAATGGACTGCCACGCGCGTTCTTTAGAACATTTGTAGTACATTTGAGTGGAAGATAGACGCAAGTGCTGTTGTGCTGACCCTTTGAAAACAAAACCAAACATTAAAAAATCTTAATATAATAGTGAGGCGAGAAACGCTATGCATTTTGCTGCCTTCTCCTGTGTCGTTGTTACCTCCTTTGATGCAAACGGACCATGGTTTAGACCCAAATACTCCAGCAGGGGGAGGGAGAGCAATTGAACTCTGGTTTGGACCAGGCAATCGAATCAAGTGTGAAAGCACCCCTCAAAAATCAAAGTCCTTTCTTTATTAAAGTATTTTAACAAACGTGCTTCATTGTGACGTTCATGTTGTGGTCCAATCAACATGCAGAAAAGAAGGGAAGTGATATAAAAAGGACCCTCTTTTAGGACTGTGTATCAAGGTCAATAAGTCTCTTAAAATATCAGATCATTTGATATGTTTTACAGCAAAACGAGGTCAGTTCAGGTTGTAGAAATAAAAATGATAGTAGAATTAATACAAGCATGTTATTACTTTTTTATTTGCACCACATGATGTTTTGTTTATATATTTCATTGTACAAAAAAATATTAGTAAGAATTAACATGAATATGAAGAGTACACATCTAAGACCTTGACAAATGTGTTTGCTTTTCTTTATGGTGAACACTGGTCATTCTGCAGGGTTGGCGTATCTTCAGGGTTTGAATCTAGAGCGTATAGTGATGTGTCAGCTCAACCCTCTGAGGGTCTGTCTACCTGCTGTCACCAACATGTTTGCAGCCATCACCAGGTACAGCACGAGAGAGATATCGTTCATCAGGTTACAAAGCTTTATGAAATGAAAGCATAACAAATGACAAACCGTCTGTTGGCAGGAAGTACCAGCTCGTGTTCTGTTACACCATCATTGAGCGGAACAACCGGCACTTGTTGCCAGTGGTGAGGAGTTCAGTGGGCGGCAACTCGGTGTACACTAACACCAACCCCCTGGATACCTTCTTCCCTTTTGATCCATATCTCCTTAAAAGGTATGAAAATCATGTCCATTTCGATCAATCTCAGCACTGGAATAATAGTTCACTGGATGTTTATTTTTTTTGTTCATTTTTACAACAGCTCTGGAAAATTCATTGAGCCAATTTACCAGGTGTGGGAGGAGCCATCCGACTGTGTGATTCAAGTGCCCAAAAAGGAAGCGAGAAAGGTGACCCTGACCTGCATTCACAGTGGCCACAAAGAGGATTTCATTTGGAAACTTAAAATATCGACTTTTCATCCTTTTTGTGACGTATATACAAGTGAAATGGCTTCTCGAACAAGAAAAAAGGCAGGGAGGGACTTGATTTTGTTAATTGGGAATTGATTAGATGGTTATGGCTAGCTATTGTTGTGATGTCATGTGAGTGACAGGTTGTCCCGCCCTCTTGCCAGTAAACACCTTATCAGAGAATAAATCATTTATAATAAATACATCAATATTCCATAAACTAAAACAAACTAAATGATGGGTGTCAAATAGATTTTTCATTAACTATTCTCCGAGAATATCTAATAACATTTTGATCTTGTCTCACAGGGGTCTATGGAGGAGGAAGATGACTTTCTGCATGGAGAAACACCTCATGGAGACTCAATAATGGGCATGACTCCCGGCTCTTATGAGTCCCATCTGCACAGTCCGCGGAGTGTGGGCTCGCCCCCCATCTCCTTCCTGCAGCGGCCTTTCTGATCCACTGCTGTAGTGAACAGTGGTCACAGACTTCACGCCATGAGGGGGCGCTCAAGGAATGCTTGTGTTAGCGCAGATCTTTCTCTAGAGCCTCGACGCACCAGCATTACTGACCCCAGTGTTTGTCAGTAGTTTTACCCTCTACTACACTTTAAGACTGCATCATATAATACAAATGTGTTTGTTGCATATTTTAGCTATATAAGTAGTAGAATGAAAGAAACATTGGTTCTCTAGTAGACAGTCTGTTTTTTTTCTGTTTTCAGGAGACTCTCGAGACTATTGTAATTAAATTATCACTAAGATAATTAGCATTTTTTGGAAAAAATATTTTCAGCTTATTCTGAAAGGATTGGAGAGTTTGTAATTAACTGGTGGTGTGTGTTCATTGGTAAATGGGCATCACTTCCCATGTTATAAGTTTGAGGTCTGATTAAATCGTTGTCTGTTTGTACAAAATATTTTGTAGGAAACCGACCATCATTTAAAGATGGAGTTCTCTTATTTGTTAATGTTATTGGAATTTTTGGACTTGTCATATTGTTCTGTACAAATTTTACAACACGCACAGTGAATATGTTCTGAATGTTGTGTTTGTGCAACACTCAAGAGTTTTGAAATTTGTACTCTGTAAAATAATTAACATGAAATAATGAAGTGGTCATGCTATTTTATTAAAATGTTAGAAATGTAATTATTGACTGTTTTCTTAAAGGCGTATTACTCTATTAATTTTTTTTTATATGATTTTCTCCCACCAAAAATCCAAATTTTATTTAGTATATTTTGAGTAATACAATATAAAGGTCAATAATTGCATTTTTATCCTTAATATATATATATATTACTGTTCAAGTTTGGGGTCAGGATTTTGTTTTTTTTAAGAAGAAAAAAATTCAGTAAGGCATTAAATTGATTAAAAGTGAGAATAAAGACATTTATAGTGTTACAAAAATCCTGTTAAATGTTGTTCTTTTGAACTTGCTTTTCATTAAGAATCTTTAAGAAAAAAAAGAATCAGCAACTGTGATTATTTCTATATATATATATGCACATATATAAATAAAGGTTACTGGAAAGGTCAAATTCAGTGATGCATCCTTAACAGAAACTGTACAGATGTGCATAGTCATATCTTAAAAAAAAAAAAAAAACAGACCCATGCAAGCTGTTGCAGATTACACAAGCATTAAGATTGTCAGCATGCAACCCTTGGTTGCCAAATAAAAATATTAAAATATTGTATCATGAGCCAGCTGTAGCACAACAGTGTATAGTGTCTGGCACATAAGCACGAGTGGATTTAAAAATAACATACAATCCCTTTAGTATTTTAAGTGTCCAAGCTCTACCGAATTCCACTACATATAATCATAAAAAAACACACATGACACATTTGTTCTGACTTTAATAAAAACATTACAAGAAAGATATTTAGGCCACACATATGATGCAATCTAGTTAAATCACAGGACTACATGTCAGCATTTGTAGAGCATGTGCTGTTATTAATATCAACGAACCACCTGCATAACCGCACACCTCTATCCTCAGGAAATGAATGATACCAGCTTATTACACATTGATATAGGTGATTGTAGATCCTATATGCCAAGACAAAACAGCTGCATACAGTGTGCTTATAAAAACAGTAACCTGAACCATGTGCATTGTTCAGCTGAATGAATGCATTCGGGGTGGAACGCTGCAATATGACCCCCATTACTTGATTCTAGTGCCATGACAACCAAAATCCCCCTCAGAACTATCAGTATAGTGACGAGGACACTGAGATGGAGCAAAGTTACTGTCCATCTCAGAAACAAGCCACGAAGGAACCCCCTAAAGCACTTAACAGACCATACCAGATAGTAGTGCAGTGGATGCTGGGTGACATTGGACCGACCTGTACCTCAAATCCGTCCGAGCACAGACTGGCGTGACGGTAAATACATGAAGAGGACATCGAAAGGGTTCGACGGCAAGATTTACAAGCTTTATGACGGCAAGCGCCCACGTACTTAGAAGCGAGCATGTCTATGTGTGTCTGCATAATAAAAGATTCGGACCGAAAATATAAAATGTTCAAAACGTCATAGCACTTCTCAGAACAGATACAAATAACCATCATATCAAATGATGAAAAGTGGGGACTGTCCCAAAAATCCCTAAATGAAATGTAATACATGTACTGTATAATATAGCTAACTCTAAAAGAGAGGTCAGCTGCTCAGCCACATGTGTTTTCATTACAGTGGTTGAATGGGGAGATATACGTCTGAATGCTCTCTTTCTCATTCTGAAGAGATCGTCTTCCTAACTCTTCGTGTTTTGCACGGCACACGCTGACACGCTTGAAATCGCATTTGAGCATCTCAAAGTCGCCTCTGCTGTTAATAGTGCCGTTTGTGTTTCAGATTTCAATCCCCTTGGTTGGTTTCTGCCTTTACATTATGATACTGAGTAATGCTACATATTAAATAAGTACATGGACTGCTTTAAAAAAATGAGTATCAGTTTGATCAGTAGAGCTCAGGCCTCTGATACCACTCGAACTATGAACTGAAGGAGTAAAAACCACACTGCAGAACTTCACAGTCTCTTATTTTCCACAGTATAGTTTCAGTTCAGCCTTGGTGTTCTGAATGAGCCCGGTTTGTCTGTCCGTCCCAGACGCTCTACTGACCTCTCCGCTCTACTGCAGGACCGCCGAGGACAGGAGGTTGTGGCCAGTGAACGAGGCTACAGGAAAAAAAGAGCATGATTGTAGATAATGTGTGGTATTACGTAAATCGATAATTTCTACTGTAAATAAGATCCTGAATCTGGGAAAAATGTTGCATTCTTTTCAGAAGTCATATGCCTGTGCCATATTCCCTTCAGAGGACACAACTTCCATGGTGAGAGCTTACACTATTGGACATCAGTTGTATTTTTACATAATGTATTTTTATTTTATTTTTTTTACTGTTAGACTTGAGTGAAGAAAAAGACTAATTTTCAAATTGTCATAAATCAACATTTCAGGAAAATGTTTTGGGGTTTCTAATCAAGATATGACTTTCAAACCAGGGCATGGATTTCATACGTGTCCCCTGTAGTGGACACCAGGACTTAAAGCATTCTTATCAGGCATTTTGAAAGACACAGCAAGTGAACAGGGAAAGAGATTATACATCAATATTCCTATGAAATATTTGATATTATGAAAATGTTGCCAATTATTACTCCCATTATTACACTTCTTTTTTTATTACATGTTGCCCCAAGAATACATTAGCATAACATATGAATAACATATCATTATTATCATATCATAATTCAAGACTATAAAAAAAACTTAAAAGTTCCTTAAAAGTGAAGGGCCTTTTAATTTCCAGAATCTGTGCGTGTTTGCAGGTGCATATTGTTTATTATTACACGGCTCTGTGGAATACTTGATTCTGATTGGTCAATCGTGGCATCCAGCGGTATGTTATCCCCTGATAACAACTGGTAAAAACTGATAACACAGGCTCATCTGGGTAACTGAAGTCAGCGCTTTACGCTTGCTAGGAACTTTTTTTTCTTTTTTTTTCGTGGAAGTTTTGCGTTTGGTGAGCTAATAAAATATTAAAACTCAAATCATTATTTTGTGAACAATTATTTAATTATGTCATCCGGGTATAGTGGACTATCGTAGACAGCTGCTGCCATTTTGCGACTATTGGTTTGTACTCTGTAATGGGTTATAAGATGACAAACAGGTAAGATTTTAAAACAGTTTCATCTCAGATCAATATCTCTTATCTCAATAATTATTTATGTGGCGAAATACCGTGTAATAAGTGGTATGACTGTAGCGTATCCCTTAAATGTCCCTTCTAGTTTGAACTTGCCACGCTAGCAACTACTTTCTTCGTGAAAGCTTTGTGTTTAAAGAGGTAATAAAATATTTCAACAAGTCAATATTTCGTGTCTAATTATTTACTTATGTGGCAAGTAGCAGTGTGATAATATACATCCGGTCGTTTATCGCAGAATAAACCTGATCACTGTCAGGGTTTACTCGGCAAAAACAACTAGCTGGATGTACATTATCCCTTGCATAACATTTGGTCTGGACTGAAAGATTCTGATGCATTGCAAAGAATCTAGGGAGTGAAGTGTCCATCGGTTTCGTTTCAAAGGACCTTTTGAAATGCACCCTTGGCTTCTGTTTGGATTGACCCCACCATGACATGGCTGCCCTGATTGTTCTCCTTTCAAAATGGCATAATTAATGCCCTTTAAAACATCAGTTGTCAAAAAATGAGCCATGTGACACCTGCATTGGTGTTTTTCAAAATCCCTGGTCAAACTGGATAACTGACAGGCTTTGCGAGGCCAGCAGTTATAGTGAAGGGTTTTGAGGCAGAGAAATGAACATTTGGCCTGAGCTAAACTCAGCTGACAGCAGCAGTTAAAGGGGAAAATGCTGATTGCTTCATAACACAAAAAAAACGGCCACTCACTTTGAATCACAGTCCTCTTCGGGCTTCACAACGCATCCCTCTACGTACTGCGGTAATGCTGCAAAACAACCAAACATTTTGTGTGACATCACAGATATGACAACAACACAAGTTCAAATGAGTTCATTAGAACAAAAAGTCCAGAAACTGTCCCATTCTACCAGATGAAGTCACACTCCACTCAAACAGAGTCAGACTGAATGAGCTTTGAAGCAGCCACTCAGATTAGACGCCCAGAACTGGTGATGATCTAGTGCGCATTTCTCACTTACTGTGATCCTCAGTGCAAAGTGAGCAGACACCATCCACAAGCTCTTTGGCCTCAGCTGCGAGCTGGCAGGCGGGGTCGGGGATCGGGGAAGGTGTGTCGGGGCTGTCAGTCGCTGGAGACGCCTGTGCGCTGTAGGATGAGAAGGAGATGTCATGATCACTGAGAGGGGGGACCACTGCAACTTTCAATGTGTTTGGCTTGAGAAACTTACCCATTTTCCATCCCAAATAAGCTGGTGTTGGTGAGAACTTTGTGGACATTCTGTAAAAACAGTGCAAATTATAAACTTGGATGATTTGGTGCTTTGGTGTTCTTGAAGGACCACTGATACCCAGTGATGGGAATAACGGCGTTATAAATAACGCCGTTACTAACGGCATTACTTTTTCCAGTAACGAGTAATCTAATTGATTACTCTTCTCATCTTAATAACGCCGTTCCCGTTACTGCCAAAAAATGCGGCGCGTTACTATAACTGATGAAGCTGGGGTTTTTTGTTTTCATCAGACCAACTAGATCTCTGAGCGAGAGGCAAATACTTTTTTTACTGTTCTTCCTTGGTTAGTGGGTAGAGCACGAGACAAGCGCATAAATGCTGACGACTGAGGTAGAGTAAAATGTCATTGTAAGCCAATCAGAGGTAGAGTTGGGCGGGTGTTCGAAAGCACGCATAGTAGTAGGCATTCGGCACTTTTGACTCAGCTCACTGAAAAGAGCCGGCTCTTTTGGCTCACAAACGGCTCTTTAAATGACTTTGACTATAATATTTAAATTTTTATTACATAATTATTTAATTTCTATAGGCTAAATTTGTAAAAATAGAGTCGGCTTTTTCAGATATGCGAGCCAGCTCCCGACGTTCACCTAAAAGAGCCGGCTCTTAGAGTCGCCTCATTCGCGAACCGCGAACGACCCATCAAAAGCTCATTCGCGAACGAGTCGATCCATCATCACTAACGGCTAACGCTCATGAATTGCGAACGACCCATCATAACGCATAGTCGGACAGGACAGGACACACAATGAACAACACAAGCAAGCCAGTCAGTCAACGAGAGACAGGTATGGCGACGAGCTTAACAAGCTTAATTTAATTTTGCCCAGTTGTGGCCTGTTGAGAGGCAATAAATATCAAAAGTTCCAAAACATCTATTGTGTTATTTGCATTGATCCACTATATAAACATAATATCTACATGGCATTTGATTGGAGGCTAGTCCCACAGCAACATTTTTTTTTTTTAGATGTGTGTACAATGTTTCATGTTTCTGTTAATAATGTATTGTATTAAGTGTCCATTTCATTATAATATTCAGATTTATCATAAATAATTGAACATGCACATGTATTGTAAGTTCCGTTAAAGAGGGGTAGAGGTGGGGTCACATTTGAGCATTTAAAATTTAAATGTAACTGAGTAACTAATTTAGTTACTTTTTGGAAGTAGTAACTAGTAACTGTAACTAATTACTTTTTAAAAGTAACTTGCCCAACACTGCTGGTACCTAAATAAATACAACAGATTACAACTGATTTTAAGTCAAAAAGTGGTTTGTTTTTACCTGGGCAAAGCCAAGGAGTTTCTTGTTGGAAATCTCCAGGTGTTTCCGTGTGAGTTCAGACCTTCTCAGCTGGCTGTCAATGACGTTGAACTTTCTGTTCAGATCCATCACATCCTCCTGTGAAAAAAATGGCCTTTAATACCAGTGTTGTTAAAGCGAACTAAGAGGACGTTTACACAACACTGTTTTCCAACTAAAAAAAGAAAACCTTTTATGTGTTTTGGCTGTTCATTTACACGACAGTGGCGTTTTAGGGGCCTGAAATGCAATTGCTTGAAAACAGGTTTACAAGTGCAAATTTTTTAAAACAATATCATTATTTTCATGAATTTGTGAGAACAGTGACGTCATCCGCATGCGTACTACATTTAGTCTATAGGCATGCGCGAGTACTTGACAACCAAAACAACAATAGCGGAGTACAGGACTGTGTTTGTGCTGCTCAAGATCCTGAGTTTATTAACGCTTCTCCGGCAAAGTGTTGTATTCATCACCACTCTGTAGAAAAATGTGTACGTGGACAGGTCCATAGTATTTCTTGACATCGTCAACTACTGGCCTGAATAATGCAGCGTTTTTAGTCGTTTTCACAGATCCATGAGAACAGGGATCATTTTGACAACGTTGTCGCCTCTATGTAAAATTAGCGAAAAAGAAAAAGAAAAACGTTTCCATTTTTGGTACATTGTGGTTGTGTGTACGTAACAAACTATTATAAATAATTTTCATTAATTAAAATTAAAGTTGAATTAAAATGAAATATAATTATTAGACAAAATAAAAACCTCAAATGTTGCATGGCAGCTAACACAAAATACAATTAATTTTAGCTGAAGTATTAAAATGACTAAAACTAAAAGTGAAATAAAAAAAATTAAAGCTAAACAGAAATGTAAAAAAAAAAAAAACTAACAAAAATGACAAAGCACAAACAAATGACTAAAGCAAACTAAAATAAAATATGTAAAAAATAAAAAACTATTTTCAAATATTCATAAATACTCTAATAGTGAACACTGTTTCAAGTGTTCGTCATGAACTGGACTGGACAGTGTTTTATTAGATAACAATCACCTGGCAACTCATTCCAAAAAGGTTTCATCCATTGCATCATCTTGTAAATTTCTTATAAATGATATGAATAATTTTTCAGAAAACAAAGAGATGTGATGAAAGAGGAAAAATTACCTTGGTAGCCTCAAGTCCTCTCTGTTTCTTTCCGGCTACCTGGTTCTTCAGATCTTTGATTTCAGCCTCCAGGAGCTGAATGACCTCCTCGTAGTCTTGTTCGGCACTGTTAGTCTGTCTCTGAACAGCCTCTGCTACCTGCAGCTTACTCTTCAGACACTTATTCTCTTCCACTGTGGCCGTGGCCTTCTGTTTCATCCACACATGGAAATAAGGGAACACACAAATTGACGGGTGGACAAATGTCTTAAATGTTCAGATGCTCATGTTGTGATAGTATATATTTGATATGCACAAAGTGTTGATGTATTAAATCAGCTCTCATGCCTCTTTATATTTGGATGTCATATTTTGAGACATTAAAGAATAGTCACATCGAAGTCGTGTTTATTTCCAGGCTTTACCTCAGCCGTCTTCTGCAGTTCCTCCTCCAGAGTCTTCTTACTGTCTTCTGTGTCTTTCAGTAACACCTGAGAGCAGTGTAATGGATGTTCATGTCACAAAAGCTTTTTGCACAAATGTTCAGCTCAGTCTTGTACATGACACGTGCAAGAAAAACAGATATTGTGGCCAATAGATATTTGATCCCACAACTTATTAATTTGTGGCCCCCTTGTAATAGTTTGTTTTCTTGTTTTTTTTAATTGTGGCCACAATTTACCTAAAATGAGGGAATAAATTAATTTGTGGCAACGATAACTTGTTTTTCCCCCTGCATGTCATGTGTGCAATGTCATGTCATGCAAAAAGTTTATGGAAAGTCAACCAGGGTCCAAAATTAACTTTCTGCCACACCAATGATGTGTGAATTAACTACCCCACACACCCTTAAACCAATGCACAACTTACACACACGCACAAAATATTCTTTGCATTTCTTCTCTTCTCGAGCTTCTCTCTATTTAGTTGTCAGAAAACCTGGCATTGTTTATTACGAATAGTGTTGACTCCTTGATGTATTGCTTTGTTTCTTTCTTGTAAGTCGCTTTGGATAAATGCGTCTTCTAAATGCATAAATGTAAATCTAATGCAAATGTAAATTAAATGTAAATGTGCAAATAGATAAAATGTACTGACTAAAAATATTTCTTATAGGTAATGAAACTTTATTTTGTATGGAAGCCCATTTCTGCCACACAAGGAAATGAATCACATTTTTGTATATCATAATTATGACACAAAAAGTCAAAATTATGACATTCAATCACCATTCCGATTTTCTGTCGATTTCAACTGTCATCATTTCAAAATTTTAAATCATAATTTTGGCTTTGTATGTCATAATTTGGACTTTATCTCAAATTCGATTTGACAAAATTCTGACTTTTGACATAATTTCAACTTTTATCTCATTATTATGATTTAGTCTATTAATAATCTATATTATTAGTCTATATAATTATTATTTACCAAAGCATGAGTCTTTTTTTCTTATTGGCGGAAATGAGCTTCCGTAATTTTGCATTAAAAAAAAAAACTATTTATTTTCTGTCTATTCTGTTTATTCCATATTCTATATATTTTATGTTTTGCTTTGTTTTGTGGGTTTTGGTGAGGAATATTCCACATATGTTGAAACATGGAGTTGTAGAGGAAAGAACTTGTCAGATAAACATGATGGTAAGTTTTCCACTGAGGGAAAAGTTGTACGAGCTGCGACAGGTGTTTTTTTTTTAAGTGAATCAGTCAAGACTATCATTCTTACAATTTGACTACTTCATTTACTGGACAATTGTCGGTTTATTTACTCACTAAAGCCAATTTTGACTTGAATTTGGCACTTAGCGAGTGTTCATTTTGGACCCTGCAGTCAGCAATTATAGTACTATACTTCTATTATCTATTGATTGAAGGAAGCAACACAATCCAGCTACCCCTGTTTATTTCAGTACTCACCTTGAGTTGTTTCATTTGCAGCTGGAGTTGTTTGACTTCCGTCTGAAACTCCTCCAGCTCCTCACTGCTGTAGCTGCACTCTGACTCATAGGTCTGAAAGTGAGAGTGACACTGTTAAAACAACTCTTTCATAAGTGTGTGACCCTGCCTCTGGGATCTGAAAGAAAAAAACCCATTAAAACCAGTACCAATTCAGTGCTCATACATCTATGTGAGACAAATCCAAAGGCACAGGCTACAAAACAGGCAAACTCTGACAATCGAAGCGTTTAAGAGCTTAAAAGACAGCTTTGATAACTTTTCTGAGCAGGAGAAAAGCTCCTTTAAGATCCCTGAGTAAATCTCCCGACATGCTCAGCTTCAGGAGAAAGTGAAGTCTCAAATGTGAGGAGGTGCTCTGAGGATTGTGCCGAAGTTTAGCCCAAATCAAAGTCAAGCACTCCGATACTAAATCCTGCGGGTCTACTTACAGGGGAATGAAAGGCAGAGGTGTCCATCAAACTAGCTGCTTCCTGATAGGAGAACATAAAGGGTCCCTGTCCCAGTCCCGCCTCCTCCAGCTTCTCTTGATACACACTGCGGGTGGCTTCCACAAAGTCTTATTAAGGAAACAAAGCCATAGTTAGAAATAGCCAAGAATTACACTAGAAATATAAAAAGCATGTAAGCAATTACAGTATCAAAATCATTAAGATTTTTTTTTATGTTTTAAAAAAAAATTCTGTCACAACTCAGAGGCTGCATTTATTTGATCAAAAATACAGTAAAAACAGTAATATTGTGAAAAAAGTACTTTTTTTCTATTTTGAAATGTAATTTATTCCTGTGATGCAAAGCTAAATTTTCAGCATAATTACTCATTGTCAGATATTCAGTGTCACATGATCCTTCAGAAATCATTCTAATATGATGATTTTCTGCTCAAGAAACAGTTGTGCTGCTTAATATTTTTGTGAAAACTGTGGTACACTACCTTTCAAAAATTTGGAAAGTAAGATATAACAAAAGAAAAAGAAAATCACAGGAATAAATTACATTTTAAAATAGAAATTATTTTAATTTGTAATAATATTACTGTGCTTTTGATCAAATAAATGCAGCCTTGTTATTTAAAACTTTTGACCAGTCTGAGTGTAGATTTGAAAATGTGATTTCAGGTCAACATTTGCTTTCTAAACAGAAAAGTGGGTGCCGTATAGTCTCTTCACCTGTCACTCAGCTAAATATATCCCTATTTTTCCTCATAACAGGAGAAAGAGCATCTAGAGGGAATATTTATGTTCAGGTGCCCTTGGTGTAAGTGTTTGCACAGCTGAAGTACAAAAAAACACACAAAAAAACAGGCAGAACTCTTGCTCCACCACACACACTTTGATCAGGATTTGCCATGGTGACATCTTCCTGCTGAGGAGTTCAGGAGTGAAGCGTAACTCAAGAGCAGCCTGGAAATATACTTAACTGTCTAAGTTTGTACTGAACCCAATTTTTTTTTCTGACAATCTGTCTCTAAAAACTCATTCTGAGTGTTTCAAAGCACAAACTCAAGCCCAATATCCAAATATGGAATGTGACTCCCTTTTCAAAAGGGGTATTTCCATTCGTGTCAAAATGTGATTATTTCCTGTGGTTATTTCAGGAGGTTGGTAACCTTACCTTAGGCACGCAAGCCGAACCAGTAATCATTGCCATCCAAAGATGAATACGAGAGAGATTAATATTAAATGTTTTTTTTAGTTATTTCAGTAATGTTGAATCCAGCGTGCTAAACTCCATCTTTTTTTCTTTTTTTTTGATAAACTGCAGTAATCCTTTTTTCTTCGTCATGCAACCTGTTTAATTTAGTTATAAGCACTATGGAAGCCTAACACTATTAAGTAAACTGCCTATCAAGTGGGTCTCATGTGCACATACTGGTGATTCAAAAGTGAGGAAATGGCACTTCAGATCAAAAGGGTTGCTGACCCCTGTTTCGGATTCATCTCCAATATTGAAATATGTTATGAATATGGGAATATAAGTCCACATCAAAATGATTGTTAAAATGAGGAAAATGTCCTGCATCTACAGTAGTTGACTGACTGAGGATCATGTTAAGAATGTGTCTATACCTCCATATGAGACCGTTCCCTGAGGGTCTGTAGTGAGACTCTCTCTGAGCTGCAGTCTCTTCTCTTCTGTTAAATCCAGACCCAGGTACGACAGAGCCTGCAAAATGATCAAACGGTCAAAAACCTTCATCATTGTAGTGCTACAAGCCTGTTCAAACAAATCTAGCTCCTTTGAATTTTCTTTTACTAATTTACTAATACGTTATTAAAATCAAAGGTTGTATTTGTTAACATTAGTAAATGCACTGTGAACTAACATGAACAAACAATGAACAGCTGTATAAGATTAATAAATACTGTAACAAATGTATTGCTCATTGCTAGTTCACAGTGCATTTACTAATTTTAACTAATGAACCTTATTGTAAAGTGTTAAAAAGGAAAATAACTATAAACACTGAACCTTAAATATTTAGTATAGTATATTTTAAGAGTTGACTGATAACTATGATTCCTTATCAACTGTATAGTATCCAGTCAAGCTTGAAAAGAGTCATGCTACTGCTACATACACAAGATGGCAGTGTGGTAACAGAGGTCAAGTCAGTGGCGTACAATAAATCCAGGCTTATGGTCCATAAGAGTTCAAAAGGCTAATCAATAAGGCATTAATAAGGCTAATCAGCCTTACCAACCAACAATCTGATACTGCCACAAAAATAAGATATACTGTTCAAACACAAATGGCAAGAAAAACTGTCCTGTACCAGATAAAATATGTGCTTGAAAACCGTGATGAACAGTGCAATGAACAGTATAAAGTCACATAGAAAACTTTGCACCGTGTCAAATACCTGTTCATGCGACACTTAACATAGTGTGCATTGTGCCTTTAGTCCACATTTAAGTGCTCTTGTCCATTGAGACCTAATCCTATTAATGGGCCGGTAGATTAGGGTCATCCCCAGGATCAGCAGGATTAAATTAAATCTCTGCTAAACAACTGCACCATAACAAAGAGCAGAGACAGATATCTATGAGGAAAGTGACACTGAGATACGAGAGGTTATCTACATAAGCACTCTGTCAGTCACTTTGCACTGAGAGACAGGCTCCTTTTGAAGTCAATCGTACAGATTTCAATGGGGGATTAACCCTTTAAATTCACCACATTTTCTGAACCGCTGGGTCTAATCATTACTAAAGGTACAGGTACAAGCATAATGTCACTGCAGTCATGAATAACGCAAAAATATATATAAAGAGAATTACATTTGTGCTCATTGATTTTTCCTAATAAAACATTTATACCTAAATTAACAGCATTATTTATTTTTTTAATGTAAAAAAAAAAAACATCCTACCCAAACGTAGTCAACTTTGGCCACGAAAAATGTTTTATGCCACATGGAGGGGGCAAAACTGAAAGAAATGGCCTTCTGTCAGTTCTGCCCAACCCACCACAGCGTACAGGTGTAAAAGCTGTAGCCATAGTGTACCATTTTTACCATAACGCTGTTTAAAGAGTAGACAAAGTACGATACATATTTTAGTGATAACACAATAACCTTACAATAAATGAATATAGTGAATAACTGGATTTCTTGGTCCAGGTAACACAGAGAATAAGTAGACATTGTTCATTTACATATACTACTGACATTGTAACAATACAAAAAAGGTTGAAAATCACTCTTCGTACACATGTAAAACTGTTTGTGTAAACCAGGCTTACCAGATCAAGCTTCTCTGATTTGAGCCGTATGTGGGGGTCCAGCGAGATCTTGGGTTTGGAAACAGTGGCTGGTCTCTGTGCGGTGGAGGCTGAGGGGGGAAAAGGGACAGTAAAAAACACCTACTTTAAGAGTCATACTCACATTACAGCATTTAGTGGTGAGAGCTAGTTAGCTGCTTTGGAAAACATGGCCTTAATGCGTTTTTTTTATTGTCTGGGAGAACAAATGAATGGGTATTATATTAATACAATAAAGATTATGAACTGTGTGAGGGATTTGAATCGAGGGGGCGAGAGAGATAGCGATAGAGAAAGAGAGGTATTAACGCCAGTGCTTTCAGTGGCGTGTGTATTGTTAAGCAACGCAGGGGATTTAACTGCCTTCTGACGCTCATGACTGACAGGTTGAGCTCAGACACGTCAGACTCACGCAGACTCAGACAGGTTCAATGCTGGTAATTCAGGACCAACATGCACAGCAGGGAGCTTGGGCAGGAGGAGTGGATTTAACAGGTGGGACTGATTGTACACAATCCAGGACAACTAAAACAATCCAGATTAATGGTGCTTCTATGAATGTTCCACCAGAATTGCAAGCATGTGGATAGCCAAATATGTTTGTAGCGTAATTATTAATCGAAGGGATAGTTAATCTAAATATGAATTCTGTCAAATCACCCAAATGTTGTTCAAATGCATATCAATTCCTTTCTTACAAAAGAAAAAATTACAAAAAGGTGAATTTTTGAAGAATTCTCTGGCCAGTTTTCCTTATCATGAAAGTGAATGGGGAGCTATCAAGCTCAAAAATCACAAAAAAAATACAATAAAAGTGACCATTTAACTTGAGCACCATATTCCCAAGTACTCTCAAACTACATATGGCAACATTAGATTTGGAGTCCATTTCAAAGCACCATGGAGGGGAAGATTATCCAACAAAGCTATTATATGACTTTAGAAGACTTAGGATATAGCATATGATTAATTTAGACAACTGTTATGATGCTTTTTTTTTTTTTTTTTTTTTTTGTCATTTTCACTGCTTGACAGTCCCAGTCCCCAATCACTTTGGGAAAGAGTAGCCTAGATATTCTTCAAAAATTCTTCAAGTGATACAGGTTTTAAGTGATATGGGTGGCATCAGAAATTCAACTATCCAGTGACCAAGCTCAAAATCTGACAACATAAGCACTAACATCAACTTATATAAATAGTTTCATGTTTAGCCTAGTGTAGTACATTAATTTAACTATATAACAGTCAGCCCTTATGTTAGATGCAAACCAGTTGTAAACATCAGTTTCCATTGGATAGCAGAATTCTATAACAATCTCCACATCTCGACAAATCACAATTATTAAAGAATGACAACGAATGAAGATAAGCATGTGTCTGAGTCTGAGCACACCCGGTCTTCCTTTCTAGGAAGGACTCCCAGAAGGGCTTTTGCAGGATTACAGTGCCCATTTAATTCAGATAAAAAACAGATCTTCCTTATTCTTCTAAGATTTTATCAGCTAGTCTGAATAAATGGGTAATTAAGCACTATAAACTTCATAGATGTCATGAATGATTAGAACACTGTGCTCGTAAACAGGACACCACCCAGGGTTCAAGGGCGAGCCAGGCATGCTTACATCCGGTCTAGATTAATCTCTGAGCCAGGGATAGCCTGACGGACAGGTCAGCACACACATAAAAAAAAGAAAAAAAAAAAGGTTTCGAATGATAAAAAACTAATCGAGATTCGAAGGTCTTGCATCATTTGTTTGCAGATTCCACTGGGTTTGGTATTTTGTAACTAATACACAACGTTCCGATGTTTCGGATATGTCCACAAGTGTCAAAATACTTTTTGGGTCTCTATGCAGAGAAATACAGAGCATTTTTGGGCATTATTTAAGCATACAAAGATCTCTGAAGTGAGAAGTGACTTAACATGTTAACATCCACACAGATAGCTTCTTCAAAGTATCTAATAGCATAAAATGTACCTAAGGGGCTATCTCTGTATGGTTTCTATAACAACTTATCAATTCCATTTTGTGCCCCAAGAAAGGATTACACATTACGCACAGCAAATCAATCTGTATTAAACAGCTACCCAGCTGCTGTGAACTGAGATAAGAGCACAATCTGACTCAACATGAAAGAGGCCTTTTCCCTTTATTTTGTTATGTCTTCTAGAATTTGATTGTGTAATTTAAACACCTCACATACATGCCCGACCCCCGGAGCACAGAGAGATTACTTTGCAACTAGCCGTTGATTAAATTCCAAACACTGCTACTGACTAATCCCCAATCTTTCTCTCTCAAAATAAATAATTGCTTTGCAATAAATCCTGTTTCTCCGTGCACTGGTTCATTTTGGATGCTACTTTCACTGAGACACAAGGTGCAATCTGTAAGGTACAGAAACTAAGAGAGCAACTACTTCCAGTATTCATTCAATTCAATGCATCTTTGTTGAATAAAGATGATTTCTTAAAAATCTTAATGAACCCAAACTTTTGAACAGTAGTGTATTTAAGAAATTGTGCCTCTCAAGTAAATTAATCTGTTTTAAATAATGTTTAGATATTTTAATGTAAATTTTTTTGCTGTAAAACACTAAGTACTTCATAACATTTATATCATATTATGTTAGAGTACTTAGGTAATTAGAGTACTCCTTTCAAAAGGGAAATATTAGCCTTATGAATAACAAAATCTGCACTGTTCATGTGGGTGATGAGAAAGGGTGGAAACTAGCTGTAAAGCTCATTAAGATAGAGTTAAGGGTGTTATGAGCCAACCTTTGAGACATGTACCTGAAACCTGTATGTCTGGAGGGCAGATTTCTGGGGCGGATGAAAGGACTGGAACTGTTTCCTCTTGTCGCATCTATGAGAAGAAAGTTATGAAGCATTGCATGCTTAGTAAAAAGACCATAGCAAGGAAATTGCCTGTGTACACAACAATATTTTGGTGTCATACTAATCATACAGAGACATGACATGATCTGTACACTATTAAACATTCACCTCAGGAGATCGGACATGAACCTTTAACCGGCTGGCGTTGTATCCATTCCCAACCCCCCTCTGAACCCCATTATGCAACAACGGGCTGTTGGAAAAAGGTCCTTTTCCAGGAATGAAGGCAATATCCACCACTGGTTCCTGACTTCAAAGGCAAAGAACAGGGACAAAATAAATAAATTCTATAAAAGAAATAAGTACAATGATACTGATTAATTATTAAATATTGTTCAAAAGACGTAAAGCTACATGAACCAGAGCGAATACCTGAATTTCACTTTATTGAGCACACTTTTGGCCTCCTCATATGTGACTCCTATCAACGACTCCTTGTTTATGGCGATAAGCTGATCTCCAGGTCTGAGCCGTCCATCCTATAAGGCCAAAGGAATGAAGATCCTTACTAAATGTTGCTGATCAGTCACAATTCTTGGCAGACGTTCAGTTTGAGAAAGCTGCACCAACAGCATCAGCAGGAACATAACCCACTGCACTACTCATCACCAGGTGGAGACCTCTCTCATGTCTTTACAGAGGACACCACTACAGCAACTCCATCCCCCAAGAGACACCAAAGTCACTAAAACTACACAACTGTGCCAAAAGTCTCATATTATAGTGAATCCAATCCGCTTCCAAACCATTTCCACAGCTTGATGGTTTAGGGATGCACTATATCCACCTTATTTCAACACAGAAGTAAGCTATGTTCTGTGAATGTGTGAGAGTTCTGATTCATTTGCCACTATAGGTAAATAAATACAACAACTGCAGTTAACAGTGGAACAATTTGCCCTACAAACCAGTGTGTTTATAATTATGACAATACATTAAAATAAATGTGTTTGCAATTGTTTGTTTGTAAAACCATGTTTGCAATATCAAGTAGCATAACAAGCTGTTTTGTACAGCTAAAATAATTGGAAGTCTTGCATACTCAAGTTACAAATGTCTCCTACGTTAAAACTAAGGTGTCGTATCAATATCGGCAAATAATTGTTACTTTTTTAAGTCCTACTGGTTAGTTAAATCAAATGGTTACTCCGTGTATGATTTTTTTGTAGAAAAAAAATTGTACCCACCCCAAACTTTTAAACATTTGTGTATTTTTACTGGAGGACACAACAAGAATATTGAGTAAGATTAAATACCAATTCAGTTATTTATTGCAGCATTCCTCTCCCAAGTTCTAACTATGAGCAATAAAAGTGAGGCTAGCTTTTGGAGACACCACTATATGCAAGTAAACACTAAAACTAAGGGCTAGACAAAGTGATTCTCAAAAAATAAAAAAATAATTCCAATGACTGGCTACCTAACCAAACCAAAAACATGGTAACAATATTTCAGATTGGAAGCTCTGAGTTATGATCATTGATTCTGGCTAAATGATTCAAAACGGACAAGCGACCTGATTTAATAGATGTTACAGATGGCAAACAATCTGACACTGAAAATCTAAGCGATATTGAATATCTGAGTTTCAGCACAATAGTCGTGTAGGTGAATAGTACAGCTCCCCTCCCCGTTGTGGAGTTTTATATTCCACAGGGAGGGCGATGCCCTAGACGGGGTGCACCTGACCTCTGCAGTCTGCTGCGACAGCACTGTCCATATCCAGAACAGCCCAGCGGAGTCTAAACCTATTTTGTCTATCAGGAAAAGCACTTACTGGGGAAAACAATGTAAAGCAGGGGATAAATTGCTTAGAACATTTCCAGGAGATACCTACTTACTACCTACCTACTTAAGAGGAAACCTTTGCACTGGCTCAGGCTATAACGCAGTAGTCTGACATTCTAGGATGTTATCCTCACTTAAATCCTAACCCCCTCAGCGATAAAGATGGCTAAATGTGTTGAAGCTTATTGGTAAGGTGTAAAGAGCCGAGTTATCCTTGTCTTGGGGGCAAGATTCCCAGAGGTTTATAATCTGTTTCTTTCTCCAGCTCAGACTAAACACTTCCACGAATTGTGTGCCATATCCCACTCATTTGTGTTTGTTGTTCTCGTTGTTGTTGTTGTTCAAAATAAACAAACTTTAAACAATTAGTCAATACATCATCAATCCTTCTTCCAAAACATGTACTTGTCTTACCCTGATTCACTATGGTAAGCCTATTATAAGTGTTATATTTTAGACCTAGCAGGATGGTTTTCAAGTGAAATTGCACACAAAGGCAAAAAGAGAACGCGACAGAGCTCGTAATAAAACAAGAATCAATATTGGCTTGGCTTTTCAGAGATGGCGAGAACTAAAGGATTTGAAATGTTGTAAAAGCAACGTGGAGATAGTAAGGTATTTTATTGAACAGATAGATTGCCATATGTAGCTCTCTAACAGAGTTCATTGTAAAGCATCATCTATTGTGAAGGGTCATTTCACATTGGTTGTTGTAGCGCAGTGCTGAAGTTTATTTTCAAGGAAGGAAGTATCGTGTCTATTATTATAGCAAGTAATGTCTTCAGCAAGTCAGCTTGAGATCCTTTCCATCTAAACTAGTGATATCCCTTTAGCCTAGTAGTGAATGTTTTATGATCAGTAAGATAAACATACAAATTCACACAGCCACGCAGAGCTGAAGCACAGCCAAGAAATTTGTTCTTCCGCAAAATGCATTCGGTTTTGTTTTTTTAGACCTCTAGAGTTGCATTGTGTACCTTTAACAAGTTAATGAGTTTTCACGGTCTCTTTAGAGATGGCATTAATGCAATTGCTATTAATTATGTATTTAACATAAAAACAATATTAAACAAATGAAATGTGGTAACATTTAAAAAGATATAATGTATATCTTTACCTACACATACAGTACGTGAGCTTAGAATTATAAGGTTCTATCTCCACTTTTGGTCGAAATTGAGTTTTTGACATAATCTGATCCATAAGGTGTTTATTAATGCCTGTGTGGTGTTATTTTTGTAAAAAAAATATTTTGTTAGTAGTTATTAATAAAATAAAAAGGTTCCATCTCACAAAACATAAACCGAGTTGGGATTATAAGGTTCTATCTCCAGTAGATTCACTATCCAATCAAAACCCTGAATGAACACGGACGGACCAATCAAAAGCCACCTCTTAGCTCTGTAGCCTGGACACAGAGCTAAGGGCTGGACATTAGCCTGGACATTTGAAGCCGGAGATAGCGCCCAAAAGACGTAAATGTACAGACGCCAGCACTATTTTTCTTTTTCTCTCTTTCCAACTAATCTTTATTTCTTTCTAAATAATCTTTCTTTCTTTCTTTCTTTCTAACTATTCATTCTTTCTTTCTTTTTTAAATTTCTTTCTTTTTTCTTTCTAACTAATCTTTCTTTCTAACTAATCATTCTTTCTTTCTAACTAATCTTTCTTTCTAACTAATCTTTCTTTCTTTATAATCTTTCTTTCTTTCTTTCTAATCTTTCTTTCTTTCCAACTAATCTTTCTTTCTTCCTTTCCAACTAATCTTTCTTTCTTCCTTTCTTTTTTCTTTCTAACCAATCTATCTTTCTTTCCTTTCTAACTAATCTTTCTTTTTTCTTTCTACCTTATTTTTCTTTCTTTCTTTCTTTCTTTCTTTCTTTCTTTCTTTCTTTCTTTCTTTCTTTCTTTCTTTCTTTCTTTCTTTCTTTCTTTCTACCTAATCTTTCTTTCTTTCTAACCTATCTATCTTTCATTCTAACTAATCTTTCTTTCTGTCTCTTTTTTCTTTCTTTCTTTTTCATTTTCGTTCTACCTAATTTTTCTTTATTCTTTCTTTTTTCTATCTTTCTTTCTCTTTCTTTCTTTCTTTCTCTTTCTTTCTTTCTTTCTTTCTTTCTTTCTTTCTTTCTTTCTTTCTTTCTTTCTTTCTTTCTTTCTTTCTTTCTTTCTTTCTTTCTTTCTTTCTTTTTTAACATTTCTTTCTAACCTTTCTTTCCAACAGAACAGAACCTGATTCTGAAAAGTTCAGAACATAACTTTTTTTCAGAACCAGAACAGGCCTTTTTGTTGATTTTTGTTCAAAATAACTTTCATTATGTTACACAATATTTTGTATGTTTTAATCTACTAAATGAACCGTTTTTAATGTATGTAAGATGCTTCCTAAATGTTTTTACAGTACAGAGGAGTGGAGTGTAGTATTGTGAAGAAAATATTTTTTGTTTAGCTGTAATTTTTCCATGTCCATGTTCTTTAAAAATAAAAATACTTTTTTTTCTTACAAACTTGCTTGGCTTTGATGTATACTATACTATTATATATTATATTATATACTACAGCTGTGTGCTTGTATTATACATATATAAATTGATTAAAATCAATGGTTATATACATTTATTCTTTGAAATGTGGGGTTTTATTTGTAAAAGTGGAGATAGAACCTTATAATTCCAAACAGAATCAGAGCTCTCCGAATTATAAGGTTCTATCTCCATTTGGACCATCTTAAAAAATCCCATTTCCAAATGTGCCAGGATTTTGATATTCTATCCTCAAAGTACCAGTAGGGTGATGGTCTTGTTTAGCTATAATAGTAGATTATACTACATATCAGTTTTGCCAGCTGGGATGTAAAAACTTTGATGCTCAATATCTCAGAACTACCCTAAACGGAGATAGAACCTTATAATTCTAAGCTCACGAGTAGTCATATAAATCAGTCAGTGATACTGTGTTAAGTCTCACACATTTGTAGCTGCATGCGTTTGATTTACGAAACTTGTGTCGCGCATATTCGATGAGATTGAGGTATGATAACATAATATGCTTCAGTAAATGAATGCAATATAAATGACCGAACTTTCATTTAATACACATGTGTATGTAATACATTCATGTGTATTTATAACTATTAAGTCATTAATAATTGAATTAATATATACTGTCATTTTTGAAAGTGCTACACTGAGTGATAAATGTCTGTTGCATTGTTTATTATGAAAATAAACATTTGGTTATATTAGATGTATATTTAATCTTTTTTTTAAAGTATTAATGAGATTTGCACTCCACACCTGGGACAAGTTAAACTCAGTCAAAATGTAGGAGCCTCAACTCATTTTCACCACCATTATTTTATACAAACTTCTTTAATACTGGGCTGACATGCAATGACTGGTGGTTAAATTTCCCTCTCCACTTCCTGTGAAGTGATGTATCGATGTTCCCTTATTTCTTATGCCGAAGCGAACTTCACTTACAGTCAAATGGAACCCACCTTATGTTTTCTATTAACTGAAAGTCATTTGTTCGGGAATCAGACCACTCAAAATCTGCAGTGCAAATAAATTACTGATCCTTGATCAATGATTTCTGCGTGAAAACACTAACACTTTATGCACAAATACATGCAGGCACACAGTTTGTTAACACTAGAACTCCCAAGGCAGTCATTTTGACTGTTTTAAAATTTTGCAATGTAATAACTTTGTTGAAATAAAACCCATGTAACTATAGGACCCTGACTTTTCCTAAATGTGCCTATATTTTATTCTATCTGTGATATAACTCAGGATTCGTGTGTGGGTGATGGAAGAAGACTCGGGGTCGGCAAAGAGTGGGGAGATACCATTATAATAGTTATAGAATTCCGGGAGTCCTAGTGTTAAAGGGAGCCAATCTCTCACCCGATGACAGTCTCCTCCAGACAGCACTTCCTGGATGAAAACTGCAGGGCCATCAGTTCTGTTGGAGCCACCTCCAATGGTAATACCCAGACTGCAGGAGCGAGCGATTGATATCAGCTGAATCACCCCTTCACCCGGGTGACTGAAACCAAACACACAAACACACACACACATACTCAAAATGACTAGTGAAGCACAGCGTGGAGCTAAATCAAAATAAACTGTTAAACAACTCAGTATGTAAACTTTACTAGACTAAATAATTTGTTATCAGTACCTTAGGGAGCGTAGCAAGGGTCCTGTGTTGTTGTAATTACTCTGAGATCCAGCAGGACTCAGCAATAGAGGACTCTGAGATCTGGACGAAGACCCTGATGATGTGCTGTCCAAGTATCTGCCTGCTGTGACACAAAAAGTGAGATTTGGTTATTATTACAAAATACCTGATCAAACTTGACATAACACTACGTAGTTAGTAATTATGCAAGCTTATATAATAACCACCAGAGGGCAGTGACACAATCCATAAAGTTATCCATTTCAAAAACACTGGCTTCTTTAATCCACAATTTTAATAAAAGTTAATATTGGAACTCTTGGAACGCTGTTTGTCTGATGTAGCAAAAACTGAAAAAATAAACAAACGGAAAATTCTCTTCAAAGACCATGTATATAAAGTCTTTGAGTGAATACAAAGTTTTTTGAGTTTGCAAGTTTTGCCAGTCTCGGAAACTTCATTGAAACTTAATTCGTCAAAAACAAACACAAAACGTCCAGACGAAGCCATCTGAACATAACTCCTGTAAATCTCTCATTTGCACTTTTAAATTAAAGACTCAAATGAAACTCTTTGCTGTGCTTAAAGCAAGTTACATCATTAGAATATTCTACACAGAGGGGAGAGCAGGGATAAGACTGAGCACACGCTCCGTTCTCAAGAACTTTTCCTGTGAAGCGTCTTTCCTCCGGCAGAAACAGATGTTCAAAATTGCATAATGGACAAATGCGCTGTCTTAAGCCATTTTCAAGGGCTGATTTGTTTCTCCCCCAAATAATTATAATTGACTTGAGCCCCCAAAAAAAGAGATTGTTTTTTGAAAACAGTTTGTTTGTCTCCTGTTTTTCATTTATATTTGAGAAAGAGTATGAATGTAGAAGTTAAAATGGTTAGGGATGATGATGAAGAGATGTGATGTGAATTTTTTTCTCTATTCCTCCTGTTTGTTAGCCAGTTGTGAGGATCATATTGCATGAATCAGCATTTCATAACCTTTGTTATGTCAGGAAGTAGTGAGGTTATGAAAGAGAGATATTCTAAACCCGAGCACAAAAATGAATGAATGAAAAGGATTTATATTATGTGCATTTCATGTAAACTTGAAAGAATATACATACTTTGCTGAATAGGAGAATTCCTGGTAGATCCCGTGCTTCCGTTTGAGCCATATTTTTCAAGGAGCTCTGCAAATTCTCGACTACACAAAGACAAAAGAAGAAATAACAATAATGCAACCGTCCAAGAAAAACAAAATAAACCTTCAAAAACATAATAATAAAAAAGAACTTTAGACACCTAAATGACATAACAGTCCTTCAGATTAAGTAACAGCTTGCACTATTCAAAAATAATATCATGTCAGTTAATTAGGACAGAATGTAATTATGTTCACATGTTATCTACACAATCCAAATATACTCTAAGCAGATACAAGTACTCTCTAGAGGGCTGAATTCAGTGATTCAAATATTCCACATCATTACTAGAAGTAAAAAGCATGATCAATGTTATAAATCTACTCTTTCATCTGCTGCAAGTAATCTGAATGCCAATATAGGGCTCGACAATAAGGTGGTTTTTGACTGGCCTCGTAAGGCCAGTAATTCAAAACTGTACTTTCCCTGCCAAAATTTTCATTGGTCCAACCACAAAAAAAAAAAAAAATCCAATTTTACTTTTAGAAATGTATTATTATATGTCCCAGAAAAATATTTTCTTTAGATGATATATATATATATATATATATATATAGATATATAGATAGAGCATTGTTCTGTTACTGAAAGATAAAGCAATGTAAATGGATTTTGTGATCAGCCTATTGAGTAAAAATAAACATGCTGAGTTCTCTTTAGTTCCCTTTAGTTAGGCTGGGCAATATATCTACAATCTATTTAAATATTCCCCTCCATCTCCATCCCAGGCCATTTCCCCCCAGACACCTCTTGAATGTCAGATATAGGTCAACAGAAATGTCCTGTCACTTGACTCAAACCTTATTCAGTTATGGACATGTGTTCATTACGCACTGGTGCACAGGCTCAGCCACTGGCCTCTTTACCTACATGCAGGTGTCCCTGAGTGATCCCAGATCTTTGCTTGTTTTAACCACAATTCAAAGCGACTATGTGGGTTCAGAAGACTATATAAACATAGCCAAGCCTTCAATAACTAGACCCATAATTCTCTGCATTCCTCCATATCAGAGCCGAATCATATTTACTCTAAGCCCAAAATATCTAGGTGTACTCAAAGTGACAGCTTTCGAAGTTCATGATGCAATGCAAAAAGAGCTTTTTCCTCCTTTTCCTCCGTCCTCAGGACTGGTTATCAGTGTGGATTAAAGGGAGGCAGGTCACACAAGGTTGTGATGCATATGGTAAGGAGCTGACTCTAAAAGGCATGAACGCTGTTCCAATAAACCACTGTGTATACATGCACATTCTAAACCATCTTCCTCATAAATACACACAAACAAAAAGCCCAGAAATGCTGTGCTCAGTCTTTCGGTCCCTGAAGACTTCCAGGTTGCTGATATGCGAGTGAAGGCAGCGGAGGTCTTTGCATGGAGGCAGAGGCGTAATCCCCTCAATGCGCATTGGTTAAGGGCAGAACGCAGATTAAAGCATGGAGACGCAAGGACTCATCTCATCATGGCTTAAAATGTGAGTCTGTTCACATTCTCCCTCGTACTCGCTCCCTCCATATCTCCATGCATGGAATGGCTTTTTCCTTCATTCATACAATCCCTGGGCTGCCAGTCCAGAGCCATGGGACTGGATCTCCTGCCAATCTGTCTATGTGTAAAGTTCACAAGTACACTGCGGTCATGCCACTGACTCTCACAGTAAACACATCTGGGATCCTACGTAATATTGTATGTCGCCGAGTCTGAAATCACGTACTGTCTAGGTAGGTACTACATTTGTATTTGAATTGACTTTGCGACCGTTAAAAATGTATGTTCTATATAGTATGGATATGGGTAGTTTGAATGAAATTCCAACATACTACATTAGCCATCTTGTTACTGTCACATGACCTACCAGTTATACTTATTAATCTATTAATTAAGGCTAACAGTAGAACGTAACACCCAGTATTATGGGAAAACATCCTTGTATTCTTGCTGCTCACTCATATCAAAGAGATCCTGAACAGGTGTTTGTGCACTATTATGTGAACACAGCATTATAAATGTACAGTAAGAAAATGGATATGGAGATTTGCTAAAGATGACATTCAACAATGTTACATTTATTAGTGGTTGCACTAATCTGTTCAAAATTTGTTTTTAAATATCTGTTCAAAAGTTTGGGGTCAGTAAGATTTTTTTTTAAAGAAATGTATACTTCTATTCATGAAACATGCATTAAATTGATCAAAAGTGACAGTAAAGCCATTTATAATCAAATAAATTAAAAACATTAGAGCATTAAAAATGCTCATGACTGATTGTTACTAAAAATGATTGCTCGTTACTAAAAGGCAATAGACCTAATTTAACTGAAGTTTTAGAAAGTGAAAAGTCACTACTAGCATTGCCATATACAGGAATACTGATTTTCCATTGATAGTTTTTTCTAGTGAGCGAAAGGAACAGTGGAGGGCGGCAGTATATAGGAGCCATGCGGGCCAGAAGCTCGTCTTTGAATAGCTCGCCAAGAGACTCACAGGCACTGCCAATACTCAGTCAGATCTAGTTTATGAACAAAATTATTCATCTTTCATTTAATTATTTAACGTGTCTTCTAAGGGGTGGACATTCAAATGAAATATACTCAGGTCAGACATCCATAGATCAATATCAGTGGATGAGAGTGTTTAAGTAATGGCAAGTGTTTAAATTGGTTAAATGTCACCAAGTAAGTGGCAGGTTGGCAATGAAATTGACTATTAGCAGTAGAGATGGAAAGAAAAACATTCCTTTGGTTTGCTTAAAAATAATTATTTTGTAATTATTTTTTACATATACACTTCCGTGGGATCTAAAGGATTTTAAAAATGTTTTTTAAAGAAGTCTCTTATGCTCACCAAGGCTGCATTTATTTTATATACAAAAATACAGTAAAAAACAGTAATATTATGAAATATTATTACAATTTAAAATAACTTTTCTATTTTATAATATATTTTAAAATGTAATTTATTCCAAAGCTGAATTTTCACTGAATTGTCACATGATCCTTCAGAAACCACTCTAACATGATGATTTGATGCTTAAGAAACATTTATTATTATCATCAATGTTAAAAATAATTGTGCAGCTTAATATTTTTTTGGGAAACCATGATATGTTTTTTCAGTATTCTTTGATCATGATTATCATTGTGCTTTGAATGTAATGTTCTTTTTTTCTCTCTTTGGAAGCAACATTTAAAAGCAACTTTTTAAATGTCCAAATGGACATGAAGTTTGTGATCTTCAGAGCAGATGTTATAATGGATGGATCAGGGGCTTACCTTGCTTCCTCATCTCTGGCAATGAGAAGGCGCATGTGATTGGTTGAGGATGCTGATCTAAGAATATCCACCGCTCTACAATCAAAGAACAATATCAGGCATCAAGTGTTTTAAAGGTAATAAAATAATTACAAGTGGCAAATTTTTGCAGTTTGTAGTTTCAGAGGTAAAAGTGAATACAAGCTAAAATAAACAGTCCTTGAGGTATTTGACTTAACTTATTTTGAAGTCATCACAGAAAGTACATACATGCAGAATAGAAGAACAAATGAATAAAAAAATAAGAGAGTGTTAGTGTAGTATGTACCGTTCACTTGTCACGCCAATCAAGCTTTCACCATTCACCTCCAATATTTGGTCTCCAGGCTGCAGGTTTCCTAATGAAGCAATTACAAAATAAAAACTATAAAGACCCATAAAATGACTTGACAAATATATTACTATTACATACTACATTGCATAATATTCTTAATATTTTTCCATTTCTATCATTAAAAGGTTTGGGCTCAGTACTTTTTTTTTTCTTCTAAAGAAATGTATACTTTTATTCAGCAAAGATTCATTAAATTGATCAAAAGTGACAGTAAAGACATTTATAATATTCCATAAGATTTCAAATAAATGCTGTTCTTTTGAACTTTGTAGTCATCAAAGTATCCTGAATAAAATGTAGCAGTTTCAACAAAAATATCAAGCAGCACAACTGTTTTCAACATTGATAATAATAATAAATTATTCTTGAGCACCAAATCATTATACTAGAATGATTTCTGAAGGATCATGTGACACTGAAGACTGGAGTAATGATGCTGAAAATTCAGCTTTACCATCACAGGAATAAATTACATTTTAAAATCTATTCAAATAGAAAGCAGTTATTTTTTAAAATTGCAATAATATTTGTTGTTACTGTATTTTCTTACCAACCCCAAACTTTTGAAAGATAATATATGTCCTCATTCAATCTGTCCACTATGAAAGATTCAAAAGTAAAGGCATTTAAGAACTAAAAACATAAGCAGCTAATGTTGATCCCCTAAATAAATGAAATATATACTTTTGATTTGTCACACTAGGGTACTTGTAAATTGACCATGACTTTAATGTTGTTGACTCTATCGGTTTGACAAAATTGGAGTTTATGGTCACAGCTAACAGTGTTTCACAGCTTTATACAACATAAAAAGTGTAAACAGCCCAGAAAAAGTCCAAACTGCATTTTGGTTTAAGAGATGGCCATCATTCAAGTGTTAAACAGTTTTATTTTCATAATTTAGCAACTTTTCGTGTGTTTTATCAAATTGTGGCTGCAGAAAAGACAGCATACGGCCCTCAAACCTTTTCATTTCCGTAGGACATAGATGTAGGTCAGGGTTATGTCTTCTACCTTCACTTCAATGATATCTTGTCAGAGCAAATCAAATCCGGAATGGAACAAGCTGCAAAGTCTCAAAGGAGTCACCTATGTCTTACTCTGTGTCAGAGCACTTTAGCCAAATACCACCTTTCGGGTATCGGATTTTACAGTCACACTGGATTATCATCAGTACTGTGAAAATCTATCTAGATTCCCTCAGAATATCTGTCTCCCAGTTAAATACCAGCATGTTTATTATGTCTTTCCACCAAACCAAAGAGAGTAGCCAGAAAGCTAGCTAAGTTCTCTGAATGGCGAGCTAACAGCAATCGTGTGAGACGGCTAAAAACAAGCAAAGACCCCGCAGAGCGCATGCGCCCATATAAGCTCCCATATACCCCGTGCTCTGTAGCAGCAGAATGGGAGACAGACTCTAATTCCAGTCCGTCAGGGGCATTAACTCTAAGCACAGGGATGATGCTAAACTCCCCTTCACACGTGAGAGACTTAAGCAGAGGTATACGCAGTGAGACAGACAATCTGTTTCGCAGAAATGTAAACAGCTGCACTGACACAGTTTTCACACACCTTTCTAAATTTTATGTCTTAACTTTTGAATTTCTTTTTTATTATAATGTGGCTGTTTCACATTCCAATTCTGATTTTGGTTTAAATGTAAAGCTAATCTCCAATTACAGTAAATGATTTGATTCATAATAACAAGATTGATTCACTTTGTTCATTAGCAAAAGCTGTTGACTATAATGTGGATCAAAGCAATTTAATCAAGCTTGCTGGTCAGAGCAGATTTCAACTTCCCATTGTTGACTAGCCTGAGCCTCACCACCTAGGTTTTGCTGGTAACAATGTGATTATGCTAGTTCATGCCTTTCTGAGCTGTTTCTTTTTCACATTTTGCACTGTGTCTGAGAGAGACTATAAATTGATGTTCTTACATTGTTTAAAACTTTTAGGAGACCATCTGGATAAATGTATAAAGTTCCCCTATTATGCTACTTTAAAGGTTACTAATTGTGTAGGTCTCCTACAATAGGTTTATATGCATCCAAGGTCAAAAAACACGTGCATTGCTCATCACCTCTTTTCTCACAGTGTCTAAAATAGCTTGATAAAGGATTCGGTCTCTCTAAACGCTTCCTTTCTGAGAGCTTCATCTGCTCTGATTGGTCAGATGCCCCAGTCTGTTGCGATTGGTCTACCGCTTGCAGCGCGTGTCGGAAACAAAACGCCCACTACCATATCTGAATTTCAGTCCTTTGAAGTGCATGCAAAGTGGATTCACAGCACTTTGTTCACAGGCAGCCAATGAATACCATAGACTGGCATTATGCAAATGTCTACGTAGATTTGAAACAGGAAGTGAGACTGAAATTGCTGACGACTCGTTTCAGGAGTTCAGAATCGATTCTTTATTTAAGTAGACAATAACTTTATTTGTCGAGCACTTAGAGCTTTAAAACTTTGCAGACCTTTTGCATTCACAAACAGCTATTTTACACACTCCATTTAAGGTAATATTCGAAAAAAACATAATAGGGGCACTTTAAAGGTACAATATGCAGGATTTTTCGCCACCAGGGGTCGCTAACCTCTTACAGTAACAAAGGCGTATATTAATGACGTATATTCAGCATTAAGCGGAATTATGGATCTTGTCGTCAAGCTGATGGATCTTTTATGGATGAGTGAATACAGTGATGTTTTTAACATGACTGTGGTTTTGCTAGACGTATACCAGCGCCACACGCAACGCGAGTCCCGCGGATATAAAGGACATTTCATTCTACCGAACTACACGCAAGTGCTGAATTAATACTCACACAGGTCAGTTTATTAGAGGAATTAAACTTGAAGTAACGCAGCGCTGTTTCACTTGCTCTAACAGTTACACTATCACACTAAATGGCATTTGTGGGTGGAATGTTGTTAGTTAGGTTGTTTGTTGGCTATATGAGACTAAGCTAGATTAACATTAGAGAATAACATACAGATCATATTCTAACTCTTCATCATGTTTAACTACATAACATTGATTAGTTTTATGTACATTTGCTCACCTGTCTGATTTCCATTACACGAGAGTAGATGTTAAAACTTCATGCTGATTTGTACTCGGCTTTCGCCAAGATAAGCAAAACTAAGACGTAGCTTTACAGTAAACTATGCCTTTCCATCCATTTACGCTTCTTTCCATATGGTGGTGTGACTCCCCTTCTGTCCGGCGTTAACGGCTGCAGTGTACTTGGCGCGTCAGCACACACGACGGCTGCAACTACAGGACCAGCACGACAACCGTCTGGATTGAGCCGAGTAGGGGACATCTCTAGGGTCTTCAAGTGGGCACCTTCCGTCCTCAGTGTTTCGTCGACTAGCCCACGACACCTCAAGAGGGCTGGACAGTGACTCTGGCGTCCCAGAGTCACCCCCCTCCGTCCCCCACTCAACTCCGCCCAGCTTACTGACCTCTACATCCCTCCTGCTGCTGAGACCTAACCACAATCTCACAATCTCTCCGCAGCCCAACCATACGCGCCAACCCGTTTGACTAAGGCTGTCGAGCCCCACTGGTGCGTCTAATAAAGTAACATGCAACACTCGCGTCTCTGTCAAGTCAAAGTTAGTCGCGGACGTGGAGCTCTCGGCATCTCGAAAGATGTTGGTCTTCGTTTTAGTCCTCTTTTTGTCTCAAAGTCTGCTTGCCATGGTCCATAATGTTTGAACAAAACAACAGCAGCGTGAGCGTCCTTCTAGGCATAACGGGCATAACCCAGTTCTCAACGTCTGTCGCCATGGTTACTATTGCAGTACGAGGTCAAACCTGGCGGAAACCGGGGATAACGCGGATATGACGCCATTGACTGCCGACTCCTCACCCCTGCTCACACGCCCCGTTTCATTGGTTAAAATCGCAATTTTCTCACGATTTACAAATAGTTGGAAACATTTGGGATATTGTAAGTAATCAACTAAACAAAATATATAACATTGGCCTAGTGGTTTTTGGATATTTTACTGCAAAAATCCTGCATATTGTACCTTTAAGGCAAAAAAAAAAACTTTCAATCTGTGATAAAATATCTTTGAGAAAACTTACCATCACTGGAAGCAAGGCCACCAGGTAAGATCCTTTTGACATAAACGCCATATTCCTCTCCTGTTAGTTCTTTCACACCACCGATCACTTTGATTCCTTAAGAAGAGACAAAGCATCACTCGTTAGACGTTGTTAAATATTATTCTTACATTTATATTGCTGTTGATATTGTATTTATCAATCAAATGTATTACTTATAAATCAAATAATTTAAACAAAACCCAGAAATCATACCACAGTCCCCGACAACAGGATTTTATGGCGATTCTGATTGCATTCAAAAAGAAAGAAATTGTGCGCACATCCTAAAAAAGATTTGGCAGGTGTTCGATCAAATGAAGCATCAAATTCAAAATAAACAAGAATCGGCACACTGCCACTTCTGCTCCCAAGGATTTATTAAAATGAACAACGTTTCGACCCGAAGGGTCTTCGTCAGGCCTTTTTGCATTTTTGGATTGCATTGCCAGTACTCACTGACAATTTGATGACAGGTGATTGTGAAATTAAAGATCTAAACATTCACTAATGTTATTCAGAAAAAACAGACTATGATTCCTTCTTTCTCTATCTAAACAAGAGGAGATAAATCAGATCTATCATGTTTACCATGAACATTAGACAGCTTTACCTGATGCATGCTGAAAGAGCTTTAGCTCTAAAAGTTTAATTTGTGTTCTGAGAGACTCCAAAAGCCATTTTAATAGTTATAAAGCTTACTTAACTTTGACTTTTTATGGGAACTGGTTATGGGGTTTGTAAGAGTTTTTAAAATTAATACTTCTATTCAGAAAGAATGCGTTAAATTAATCAAAACTGACAGTAAAGGCATTTATTATGATACAAAAGATTTATATTTCAAATAAATACTGTTGTTTTGAACTTAAGTCAAATAATGCAGCCTTGTTGAGCATAAGATACTTATTTTAAGAAAGGTATAGTACGGTAGTGTCCTTTCGGTTATTTTTCACTTTGGTAATCCAAATAAATGCATGATGACTAAATAGTGCAGCCCAGCTGCTGTAGTGTGTTCCCATTTGTGTCTGATTTTAAGTCAGATAAATGAGGCCTTAAACAGCTTATGTTCAAACCAGTCTCCCTAAAATTAGGATTTACAACTGACTCTGGTCAGTATTTACTTCTAAGCATTACATACATAGAAACTTCCACTTTCAGAGTTTCAGGTAAATGCTGTGAGGCTTGAATAAATGGGAACACAAAAATTATATTTCATGTTTTCTCTCATTCACTGCTATAATAGAAGTTTACCCAACTATGACGCCTTCCGCTTCTGAGAAACCCAGAAATGTGAAAAGGATCAATATGATGGAATAAGTCCTGCCTTCTAAATAAAATAGCCATTCGCTGATTGGTAAAGTCATCGCTCTGGTTTGCTATGGAAACAGTCAGCATTCTGTGACGAGCGCTTAGCACTGAATCCATTAAACACACAGGAATCCTGTTTTACTCCATTGAGGTTGAATATAATGAGGTTAAAAGTATTTTAAAATTATTTATTTTTAAAGAACCATTTAGAAAAAAAGATAGGGTAAATCACATTTCATGTTGACTTTAAAAAAACTCAGGGTTTATCTAAAAACAATATATTGAATAGAGTCATTGTCTAAATGCCAACATGAAAGGATGGCAGATCCCTTATTTGAGAGACCAACAGCAAATCAGTGTTGTCATGCCATTAATGGTTGAAACAACAGGAATGAGCTCTGACGCCAACAAAGCATGAAAGCCTTTAATGAGATGAGCATCTTTCACACCCAACGTAATCTCATGAGTATTCGTATGTATTTTACGTAAAGTGTGGTTTTACCACACATACAGTTATTTACCTTTCCATAGACACTGAAATGTACAATATTGACATATTGCCAGCACTAAAACATTCATTTGCAGGCAGTTCAGAAGCAGAATACACTTCCCTTGATGGACAGTACAGATTCTTTAGATTCGCTTTGGTCGCACGGTTTAGTCACACTCATGGAATAATAAATATCCTCTTTGTGCTTCAGGCTTATCTGGTATTAATAGAAAGACAATGTATTGGCACTAATTGAGTTTTGAGCTGATATTGCATATCAATGGATTCACTTTAAGATTAATCTTTAATGAGAAGAACTGCAACCCGGTTATCCCCAAAACAAGTGCTAAACTTAAACTCAAAATTTTTCATATACTCTAAAATAAATGCAAAGTAAGGACTGTGTCCAGAAAGTGTCACACTTTTAAGTCTGTTCCTGATAGCATTGCAAAAATGTGTTGTAAAATATTTGATTTATCGGTGACGTTTTTATTCAGAGCACCACTCCTGAGTCTGTATTCATGAAAATGTCTCCTAAAACAGAATCGTCTAGTAACACAATGGATTGTTGACTGTGCAAGTTGGGATGTAAGAAGGACAGGTTTAAGGAGCTTAGAGCTGCCTTCAAATAATGTTTTTGATCTATTGTGAAGAGGGAGATCAGGCTGCGGTATAAATATAACAAAGACAGCGCAAGACTTAAAAGACTGGAAAACAACCGTACCCTAAACCTATGCCTACGTTTTGCTTTGAGACTTCGCCATACGTTTTAAAAGATAAAGGTTCACGAAGTTTTTTTTTGCAGTAATGCCATAATAGAACCATTTTTGGTTCTTCAAAGAACATTAAACATCTTAAAAGAACCATTCTTAAAATGAAGAATATTTTAATAATCTAAAGAGCCTTTTTCCACTATAAAGCATCTTTTGTGCACTGGAATGGTTCAAAGGATGTTAAAAGTTCTTCATGGAACCACAGATGCTAATAAAGAAGAGTCTACTACAGCCCCTTTCGCACATACAGTCTTTCCTAGTAAATTACAGTTAAGAGATCATGTTCAGGAACTCACATGCCCCGAAATCTATAAAATTAATTCGATTTTAGATATAATTTGGTAGTAAACCAAAGTGTTGCACATTTTATTGGTGCAAAGATGAGTATGTGTATTTTGTCCAAAAATTGCAACTGCTTTGTATCACTTATTTAGAAGCACCACAATTACTAAATTGACATAGGGACTACTGAACAGATATTTAGACGTTTATTTTAAAATGCAAAAGTATTGAAATCAAGATATTTACTCTGTAAACCCTTGCATTTTTACAACACTATAAGTGTGTCCCATTGGGTAATCAAAAGTTCTACACACACACTTGCGGTCTTCATGCCCACTTGGGCCAAATACAAGAAATACGTCATGAACGTAGACAAGTGGTCAAATGTGGGTATTTGGACAGGCCCATAAAGTTCTGTCAGAGCGGTTTAAGGTAAATTCCACTGATTTTAACTGTTTTTCTATGTAAACATGCACTAGACCAGTGTTACTCATTGCGCGGCTCGCCAAGCTTTAATTTGTGGCTTGCATGGCGGTAAATATTACGGTGATATTACGCGCAGTCACTACAGATATTTCATAAAAACATTCAAAACAAGTAGGGCTATAACATAACCCATTAAAAACTCAAAGTGTCAGCTCTATTACAAATAATTTCGATCGGATTGAAAGGGGTGGTTTAGTATGCCTTTTCTAATCCAAACGAGGGAACATGTTAACACTTGATCGATTGAAAACCGAAACTGAAAGAACGACGTATGACGCGCTGAACGAGCTGTTGTTCCTGTTGAATAAAGTGTCATATAAATAAGTGACCCGTCATTCTATAATTCTCCTTTCACTCAGCGTCTGTGAAGTGAAGCAGGACTGTCCTTGTTTCAGATTATCATCCACAGACACTGGTTTTAGGCTTTTTTACTGTGTGATAAATATAAGCAGCACAGAACAACAGTTCATATGTTCATAGTCTCCAAATTATGACCAGAAATGGATAAATATTAAGTCTGCTGTTTAAAACAAATAACCAATGTAGGAGAATGGTTATTAAGCGCAAACAGCAGGAAACTCTGTATATTCGTCCAGTGTGCGCACGTCAAAAAAATGTATTCTGATTTGAAGTTTGTGACATATATAAACGCGCACATCAACCCGATCACGTTTAGCGTTCATGTAAACTACAATACATTCAGATTCATGATACATGATGGGCTAATGTAAAAATTACTTAAATTCATGATTTTTTTTTTTTGTCATTAAGGGAAATCATCTGGTCTCAGTTACAAATTTGACTGGTAAATCATAAAGAATGCTTTTTTCCCCGCCCTTTTGTATTTATTGCATTGCATAGGCCAATTGTATGTTCAGGGATGACAGACTGATAAGCAGATATTTATGCCTGGATGTGACTTTTGATACTTTGCGGTAAAAATGGGTCTCCTACTGACTTTGTCCTATCAGTGTGGCTCACGTGAAAAAAATAGTGAAGACCACTGCACTAGACGAACATCTGAACATTGCTCTGCGTCTTGTGCTCGAGACCCTGCCTTCTTTTCTATTCATCAGTGCTGACTTACTATAGTCACTAATACTATTATGTGTCTCGTGTTTTTAAGAGCCCAACCGCGTTCTGTGAACTCATCCCCTTACAATTGTCACTCAGAAAAAAAGAAAAGAAAGTAACTAAAATAAATCTAAGGCACTTCTCCTCATCCAGGAGGATGAAGAAAACGGCTCAGCATTTAAAGGTCATTTCCGATGATTGACATCACAGAGTTTACCGGTATTCTGGTACTGATGTGTAAATGGTATCTTACTGGGGGAAAAGATGGAATGACGTTGACAGCACATTTGTGTATTTATTTACATTTGTGTATATTCTGGTAATTTTACGGTAATTTACCAGGATTGCTGTGTGAAAGGGTCTTGAATAAATCTTAGTAACCCTTCAGTCTCAATCCACACCATTCTAAGAGTATGTATAATAATATGCCTTCTGAGGTGGTCTGCACAGACTGAAGACAGTGTTTTAAATTATATCAAGATATGATAGGATATTTAGTAAATTATACAAACACACAAATGTTAAAAGAGAGGAACATCTTATGAGGCACTTACCTAATCCATTCTCACAGTCTGTAAACTCCATAGAATGCACTGCTCGATCTACTCCATACGGACCCATAAGTGTCCTGTGCAGCACAGAAAAAAAAAGTGGAAACATGGAAAAACAACAACTTAGTAACATAGTGAGACCTGTCGGATTCAGAGAAATAATCAAGGTCTTTTTTTTAAGAATCAAACTTCTCTCTGAATTCAGTTAAATTTGAAGCAGGTAACATTCAGTTCATATCTGAATATTGTAAACAAAATGTCACTGTACATGCTGTGCTTGTGGACTGTTATTAGCATCAAGACCAGTTATTTCCAGTGGGGAATCAGTATTAATTATTTAGCATGAATGTCCTGCTTTGGACATGCTCCTAAAAATGTACTCTTTCAAACGAACTTAGAATCGGTGTATGATTCTGATTTTTGAGTCACATAACAGGGATTAAGGTTTACTTACGTACTTAAATCATTAAGTAAAATTATGTTATTAAGTAAAGAAACTCAACCTTGTTGGCAATGGAAACACTGTTACTATGCAATTGAAAGAATGAAATATTGTCTTTTCGTAGGAAATACAGTATATCAGGACACTGACAGGGCCCTATGTTGTTTACCAGCACTACACCAGAAAGATTACAAGCATCCACCACAATCCAGTATTTCCTGCAGGCTCGGTGCACTGTCCTTGAAACTTTAGATTGTCAGAACCTAAGACTTCGTCTGAGGCTCAAATTCAAGCTAAACATAAACAAGAGTTATGTAACAAAGTGTGTCCGCTGTCCCCAACACAGCGCCCTCTAAAACAGCCTTTTAAAATGATAGGTCTGTGGAAATCAAAAAAGATATAAATTGTACTTTTTAGGGTTGTTAAAGTTAACTTGTGATTTTAATAAAATGGCTATTGCAATCATTTAAATGTATTAAATAAATATGCTTAATGCAATAATGTATCACATACAAAATTTGATATTATTTCTAATTCAAAGAATTCAGAAATCCTGAAACTAATTATGGTTATTTTATTCCAACAATAATTCTAGTTTGTTGACAGTAAGAAAACAAAAACTATGCGCATATAGTTCCAAGAGTTTATATATCAAGAATCGTTACCATAATAATAAAAAAACACTGTCCCAGTCACCCTAATACCTTGAGTAAATATTCATAATATTTTAATGATTTCTTTTAGTTTTAGTGTAATGAAAATATAAAAGCCAATTATTTAATTTTGCAAACGTCATGCCTAACATCATGTCTTATGCTGCATTCAGGTGCTATCGGTAATTTGCTGAAGCACTACTTTGTGAAGTCGTGATTGTGAGCTCATCCTCTTCAAATTTTGACTTGAGGGCGTTCATATCTAATTTTTTTTTTTTACTTGGAAACTAGTATTTACAATAATTTCGATAGTATGTGAAGGCAGCATAAGCATCAATAAGTTTGATACTAACTAACCTCTGATCAATAGCTAAAAGCTCAGTAAAACAAAGTTTTATTAATTCCACGAGGCGTGTAATATGCATGGATTTAGTGAGTAGCCTACTACGCACAAACACATTATAATCTCCGGTTGATTAGAGCACATTATTAGTACATCATTTAAAGTGTTGTGAATTCTTCAAAATATAGCGGGCAAATAAATTCAAATATGCCCTTTTCACACTGTAACTACAGTCGGTGCAAATGTGTAGGTTATATAAAAAGAATGGTGAAGAACCCGTCGTTTAACGCATTTTACTCACGTTTTTCATTCTCTCACCAGTTATATTAGTAAGTACGCAACAAGCACGCTTTATAAGTGACACACCTGAGCACAGCACAGGTAAAACAAAGTACCCAAAAGTCACCGAAACCTCCAGTAGAGGACAAAAGTGACAGCGCTCTTATGTCGACGATTCTCTCGAAAACACTCGAGCGCTTATCACTCACTGGAACTAAGGAGCTGGAAAAAACGAGACAAAATGCAGCTCAACAACCACAAAATGACAAAACAAACGTTTTTACCTGCTAATCATGACTGCTCCCTTGTACATGACCGAAAATGTTGGCATTTTGAAGCGGTTTTTGCGCATCCAGCGACGCGTAGCGTATGCCCATTCCTCTCGTGATCAGCGCCTCGCGGAGGTCCGACACAGCGCGAGCCACATGATTCACTGCTACAGCCAGCTCTAATACAGATGATCCTAAACATCACCAACTTTGCCCACAGATTAAATCTTATGCAACAGAAATGGGGGATCGTGTTTTTTATATAGATATTTTAGAGATAGAGATTTTTTTTTTTTGGCCATTGTTTAACAATGACTGAACAGGTGGTTCCCAAACTGAGAAACAAATATTCACGTTTATGAAAGGACTTTAAAGGTTTAACTTGATATACAAAGTCTTACTGACATTAAGCTATTTCAATCCATGGGGTCTTTCAAGGACACCGGGCTGAAGTCTATTATAGAAATATGTTAGGTTTTTTGGCATCAAATTAGACCTGATTTGGGAATTGAAACTGATAAGCTACTTTAATCTATCGATATCTATCCAGAGTCTCCAAACAAAACACAGGATGAACGAAACAAAATAATCACACTGGGATGAAGTCCATAGTCTAGCGAAGAAGTAGATAAATGTTATACTATATTACTACAATAAACTGTACCTATATAAAAAATAAAAAAAATAAAAAAATAAATCTAAAAGGTGCTGAATGCATCACCTTAGTTGGCAACATCTAAAAAATATATCATCAAATCAACCTTACTACATTTGGCTACACCAACAAACGTCATTGGTAAGAGTCAGGTCAGACAGAAATAGCTCCTTAATGACATATTTTCACATTTACAGTATCCTACTGAAGGATAGTTGTGATTTCTTAACCCCTGATGGTGTGGAATCACACTGCCACTAGTTATTTTATGAGTCATGAAAAAATAGGAAATGCTGATGCTTTGGGGGGGGGGGGGGGGGGGGACAACATTTGTGCAAAAGCAGAAAACTCTAAATCCTTGTTAACTCAGAAAGACATATTTAATCTCTCAACCATTTCTATTTTTAGCCAGCGTTATTGTCTATGGTCATCCCATGCGAAGCAAGAGTGCTTTTCTCTCACGCAGCAATCAGATTTATACATGGATACTTGAGGTAAAATTACACAATGGGTGGATTACACTGTCCAAATTTACTCAGCTTTTTGTATTCTTACAATATGTGTAACGTTTTCAATGTTAAGTAAGTGGGTTGAAAAAAACATTCCTTGAAAAGACTAACTGCATGCATAATGTAATAAAGAGACAACCTGTTCAAAGAGATCATTGTCATAGTGCTCAACAAATAGTGTTGCTTGCGTCCTAGTTAGAGTCAGAGTGACACTTTGCTTTAAATGCATTGTCACTGTGTAACTCCTCACTGTCATTTACCTCGACACATGTCCGACTTGAGTTTAAGTCCATATTTGAGTCATACCTGTAGCAGCATCTTGGATAATGTTATCAGGCAAAGTGGAAATATGTGCATTTATTGTTATTGTCTTAGTTAATAATGCAATAATGGATCTGCTGCTGTCCACAATCTGTCAAGTCCCTATGACAATCAGTGTGACCAGACTAAGGGGGCTTTCACACTGGCAGTTTAGTTCGGAACGGGGCACGGTTCGCATGAAAAATCGCTAATGTGAACGCTGTCATGGGACCCGGGTGCGCACTGGGGTACCGAACCCGAGACTACCTGGAAGAGGTGGTCTGAGTTCGGTTGCCCCCGAACCGTGCCGCGGTTCGCGTGAATGTGAAAGCAACACGGACTCGGGTGCGCACTTGTTCAGGAAGTAAAGTAACCTGCGCATGCGTTTTTAGCTTATTGTGATGTATTTAGTTAAATAAAACGCGTGTAAGGGATGATAGTGTTGATGATTTACCTTGGATACGAGCGAGAGTGAGCCTGCGTGCAGTGTATTCGTGCATTGCGCGTGGAATCAGGGCAACAAAGTTGGAAATCCACTGTCTCCTAAAAAGAGTCCGTTTGCAAGCAGCAGAAGTCCACCTTATGTGACACACGCACAGTAAACCTGTAGTGTTCACTCAACTGCGCATAATAGCAGCGAATTAATAAAAAAAAACACAATATTGACCCACGTTCTATTTTCTATCATGCGCCGTGCACGTTTGCGATGACGTCATATGCACGCAAACGCACCAGGGTTCGATAGAATCAAGTTGTGTGTGAAACCAGACCAACGCTGCGGGGGGCGCCGGGAACAAACACGCTCGGGCTCGGACCGCAGCAAACGAGCCCAGTGTAAAAGCCCCCTTAGCTTTCTTGTACCAAACTCACAGGTTGTAATGATGTAATTTGTGGACTAGCTTTTACACACACGGCCATGATAAGCTTTATTTTCAAAATGATCACACCAAACTACACAGACTTACAGAACTCTCTGATGAGGTCAATATGTCAAGTGTGATTTGCACATTCACATATCAAGTCATGACTGGGCAGAGTACTTTTTAGTGCACAATAATCTGCTAGGACAACCTGTCAATCAACCGCGTACAGCACAGTTATTCGGAAAAAAAAAAACAGAAGAAATGTTGACTATAAAACAAATACTAAAAATAAAAAGATAGTAGCCTACACAAATCTTAAGCATTTTGTGTGCATACAGGTGTGCAATCTGTTTGATTGGTTGTACGGTTGGGTTCCTTTGCATTGATTGTTTAGTTGAAGTAAAACATTTTAAAAGGGTATAGTTCACCCAAAAATGGTTTCTTCAAAAATCATTTACTCACCCTAATTTCATTCCAAAACTGTAAGACTTTCTTTCTTCTGTGGAACATAAAAGAAGATATTTTGAGAATTGTCTCAGAGTTGTTGTTTTTTTGTCCATACAATGGATGTCAATAGGCATTCTTCAAAATATCTTCTTTTGTGCACCACAATGGTTTGGAATGACATGAGGGGGAGTAAATGAAGACAGAAAATTCATTTTTGAGTGAATTATCCCTATTCTCGAGTTCACACTTACATATAATCGAATAGGGCAGGGGGTTCCAGTCCTCACGCCTCCCCACATTTTGTATGTCTCTCTCATTTGACACGCTCAGTTGAGAAGTGGGTTCCATTCAACCATAAGTGTGCTGCGAAGTGGACTTAAAAGGGTATTTCGCCATTTTAAGATTCCAGTCCGAAGTAGGTGTGTTCACGCGTTGTTCACGGATGTAAAGTGCGTGAGATGCGACAATTACAAGTCAACTATCATCATTATGGGTTAAATAAGATAAAAAGACATATTTAATATACCGTAACCAAATTATATAACCATAGCTACATACATATCAATTAGTTTAGGGCTTTTGAATTTCACAGATTAAAGTTACATTTCTTAAGTAAAAAAAAAAGTCTACAGGTCATCATTTACTCACCCTCAAGTTGTTGCATCAAACATCTATGAATTTCTTTCTTCTGCTGAACACAAAAGATGATGTTTTGAATGTCAGTAACCAGACCTTTGACGTCATCCAATGACTTTTATAGTATTTTTGTCCATACTATGGAAGTCAATGGGACCCATCAACTGTTTGGTGGTTACCCAAATTCTTTCAAAATATCTTCTTTTGTGTTTAACAGAAGAAAAAAACTCATACAGGTTTGGAACAACTTGAGGGTGAGTAAATGATGACAGAATTTTCATTTTTGGGTGAACAATCCCTTTAATATTTATATGGATGTATTATATACATTATTACACCAACATCCAAAGAGACAGGCATGACCTTCAATTGCAGTAATTGCAACAGAACATGTCTGTAACGGTCACCAGCTGGAGTGCCCTTGAGAGCCACCAGAGGGCACTCCACATCAGACTATTGTCATTCCCTCACAAACTACATTTCCCATAACTCACTGCCCGACTCATCCCTGATTGCATCCACCTGTGTCTCATTACCTTGTTAGTCTCAGCCTATTTAAACCATGTACACTCATTCATTCCCTGCGAAGTCTTGTATGTTGTCTCACTGCATTTCTGAGTGTGTTTGTATCCTGTTTCTCTCGTTTCTTGATTCTCTGCCTGTTCCCTTGGATTTCTCTCTTTGCCTGAGCCCTGATCTGTGATTGTTTGTTTGTGTATGACCCTTGCCTGTTATCTGGATTATGTCTTTGGATTACCCTGTTCAATAAACACTGCATTTGGATCCTCAACATTCGTGTCTCGGAGCAGTTCGTGACAATGCCTTTCAAGAATCGGGCTCATACAGTCACAGCAGGCGCTGTAACTCAACAAATGTCTCCATTGTCTTTCGAGACAGAAGGATGCCAATATTAAATGAAAGCATGGTAATTTATAGCCTTTTATATTTATTTACAGAAATGTATTATGGCATCAAACCTTAAACTCCTTTAATATAAGCGACTTGAGTTTCGTCTGTTTGATGACGTTGGGTGTTCTGAATGAACACATTTTGTTAAGGGAAGTGAACTTTAACAGATATCATGTGCTCAGTGCGTATAGGACCCTGTCAAACATCATGAGTGATCAAAATCATGGCTGATGTATTTGTATACTATGTATTATTATGACGAGTTTGTGACGACTGAAATAGAACAGTTTTCATCTCATTTGCTCTAAAAAGGCAAAATGTGCCTACATTTATAAAGCCTAAAAGGCTATAAATATCCTTTCAGAGCAGCCACTGTGATACAGGAGACAGCTGTTCTTTATTCAAGAATCTGCCATCCCCGAGAATGGCAAAACAGTAAAGCTCAGGCAGAATGGCAGATATTTAGCACTGGAAGGCTTAGCAAAGGCTTGAGACAATTTGAGATGAGCTATTGAAATGTCCCTGAGAACAGCCTGAAAAATCCTACATTTGAAAAACTGAAATCATCTTTTATTCATCAGACAAAAATATTTATGAATATATAACTCACTTATGCTGTGTCTGCAGTGTCTTTCATATAATATACCAGCACTGAAAACACCCTCTCCCACCACCTCTGATCCACACTGCCTGTCAGGCATTGGCAGATTATATAGCACTACAGTGCAACATGCTCAAACATATTTGACAACACAACTATAAATTTACTGGAAACGAGCGAGTAAAAGAGTATGTTGCTGTTGCAGTACTTACATTGTGCTGTAGTTTTTTTCCATTCAAGCTGTGGATGAAGGTGGCTATTAAATTAATGTAAATATTAATACATCTAAAAATTTCACTAAAT